CCATTAAAGCGCAAGTAATACTCGCCTCAACCGTTGCCGATGTTGCCATTAGCCGGAACTTTACTCACAGAAAATCAAATTATTTTGTTTTAGTCTTTAAATACACTGATGTACACCAGTCTTCCAAAATAAAACAAACAGGGAAAACGAAATTTCTGCTTCTGTTTTCCATTTCTCAAGGGCTCCAATAAATTTAGAAAGAAAGTAAATCCTAATCCGAAAATAACCCGAAAGTGTAATATACTAGCTAGTACTGATGAATAAAATGAGACCGCATAGAGCGATTCCCTTTATAGTAACCAGACAAGTGACTATCAAACCTCTAATAACTAAAGTTAATGGGTTGATAGTTGGCCAAAACATCTCAGAGATACCAATCATTTTAATTCTTATTTTATTTAGGCCCTATGTTTCCTATCGCTTTATATTGATTATAGAAACCTTCGTGTGTTTTAGAAAAACAAACTCGTGCCTCAACTATCCGGTTCGTGATTAGGATAAAAAATATTCGACCACTGTTACGGCCTCTTCTGTCGACAGAACGGAGGTATCTACTGACACACAAAAATAATTAATTTCCGTTTTACCTAATTTCCTAGTCAAAAATTAAGCGTTCTGACTAGCCTTAAATTAATTTTCATACATATTTTCACATATATTGTCTTCATGGCAAAATATTTGTTTAAGGATCATTGTTTCAACCCGTTTACGTCACATTAACACATTCATAATCATGATAAAAACAACTTGTTCCCAAACTGCAGTCTGTTACATGAGGCATGCCGGCTTACCAACAAGGTCAAATTGTTACGGAAGATACAGTCTTCGTTGGGGTGGGTCTCTCAGTTAGTTTGATATTTTATAAGGTCCAGAGACCATAAAATTATGGGGATGGGCGGCGCTTCTCACACATGAATGCAAATAATACTAGTAAGATCCATATTATCAATATGACATTTGCCGGGCTTTATAGAGGTTGCGTTGCAACGAGAAACTGATAGTCGGGAATAAATCCATGTGAGTTTGAGAGCTTCTATAAACCGTGACCTTATATCTCTCTGGAATATCTGAGGCAATAATGATGGCGCAGGAAGAAATCACCCGTTGCATATGCGTTTTTGGTGGCATATCTCTAGGGGGCTGAGAGACAGGGTAAGTAATAGAGGGGACGAGAAGCAAAGCATACAATGTTCATGCCTGTTAAAGTTGAGTCATTCGTGGTGGAATAATGAATGTATGAGTACTTGGTCTAATTTTCTATTATCAAGGTACTTTTCAAGCAAGAGCATTCTAATAGATTAAAGAAAACTGTATAAATGAAAGTGGTTCAAAAAGAAGCTAAAAGTATGGGAATATGCGAAGCCTTAAAACATAGTACTGAAAACAGTATTCTGATACACAAATGGCTATCTCCCTTTTTTGTCAAAGCCATTTCAACTCATTTTTATTTTTATTGATTTTGTAGGCCCATGAGCAGGCTTCGCTTGTAACGAACTGTCCAGTTTTGCTTGTAATAGGATTACTTAGTAAGAAGTGAAACCAATTCAACATCATATACAACATGGCATACTCAATCCAAACTGAAATTCTGGAGGATGAGTGCAATTTGTCACCGGCGGTGATAGACACTGTGATGAATACGAAAATTCGACCCCCAGAACTGGTTTGCAGTAACCTCGAATTGCGGTTTGCTCGGCTGGAGCATTATTTACGAGGCGCAACATTAAATCTGCGGGAATTTCGTACCAAGATTCACGATCTGTCCACCTACCTTCGGCTTCCAAAAACGTCCACAACTTTGTACGTATTGCAAACAGAATAATTGAAAGAGGTCAGCCAGAACGATCACGTGCGGCACTTAATTACTTATGTCAACCCTCGTGGAGGAGCATGGGCCAACCATCAGCATTCTCCATCTAACTCTGTCCTGATAAATTCTTTCCAGCTTTTTCCAGTTGATATTCATCCTTTTTCGTCTGCCCCTAGTTTTCAGCGGTATGTTATTTGGCCCTCCTCTTTTTCGTTTCTCTTCAGCATTCCATGTTGGGGCTTACCTCATGATGCGGTTTGGTGATTTCCAGTAGATTGTTGCTTGAGGTATCCAGCCAACAGATATTGAGCATCTTGCGCAGATAATTGTATATAATTACTTGAATATTTTTGAGGTTGATTGTGGCTGTTCTCCTAGTTTCAGCTCTGCACAGTAGAACTAATTGACTGGACGCTCGTATTACAGATTCTGACTATAATATTTATTGTCAGTTGTTTCGAGTTCCATGTGTTCCTCAACTGTGAAAGTGCTATGCTTGGTTTGCTAATCCTTGCTTTACTTATGCTTCAAATCCCCCTTGTTCATCGATGATGCTACCCAAATACGTGAAACTTCCCTATTCTTAGCAGTTTCTCCATTAAGTATTACTGGGTTCGTGTTCTCCATGATGTACTTGGGGGTCTTGGTTTTTCCCTTGTGTGTGTTGAAACCTACTGATGCAGAGGCTGCTACTAAACCATTTATTTTGTCCAGCATTTGTTGGTGTGTAGGAGATAGGAGGGTTAGGTCATCTGCAAAGTTCAAATCGTCTAGTCGCGTCCAAGCTGTCCATTGTATCCCGTGATTCTTCTCAGATGTACATGTCTTCATTATCCCGTCAACCACCAGGAGACAGAGGAGGAGGGAGAGTAGGCAACTTTGTCTGACTCCGGTCCTCACCCAAAATGCATCTGTCAGCTGACCTCCGTGAACGAGTTTGCAGTGTAGTTCGTCCTATAAATTGCGTATGATGTTCACGATCTCAGGCACACCACAGTGTCAAAGAAGGTCAGATAGTGTTCTTCTATCCACACTGTCAAATGCTTTCTCATAACCAAGGTGGTTGATGTACACTGAGTTCCATTCCATTGGTCGTTCAACAGGGATCTGTGCACGACCGATCCTCACGGAATCCAGCCTGTTGATTCTGAAGTTGTGCGTTTATTGAATCTCTCACCCGATTCTACTGAAGACTTTTCCTGGTACTGTTTTTAGTGTGATGCCTCCGTAATTCTCATACTTGTCTTTCTTTGGAATCCTGATAAGGTGTCCTCCTTTCCAGTCCATCGGAACTTGATCTTCCTCCCAAATCTTCTTGAATAGAATGTGAAGAATGTTTGCTGTCACTTCTGTATCTGACTTCAGTGTTTCAGATGGTATATTGGCAGGTCCTAGTGCTTTCCTGCTCTTCATTTGTCTGATGGCAATCCTAATTTCTTCGTTTTTTGGTGGAGTAATATCTATGAGAACGTTTGGAAGTGTTGCTTCGATGTCCGGTGGATTCAATGGAACTGGCCTATTCAAGAGTTCCACGTACGATACATCATACACAAAATCAGGAATGATCAAAAGGACCGATCCCAGCTGAACGCATTGCGTGTGTTAAAAGTCCCACAGAGACTGTCACCAAAATGCAAGTGAGTTACCGAAACAGGTCATCAAAACCACCAAGATCCATGTTACATAGTAGGCCACAAACGTTCAGACAATCTGGATGGTTCTTTTGGTATCACTGGAAGTTTGGTTTTAAATCAACCAGATTAAGTCAACATACACCTGATCTAAACAGGCTCCTATGAAAAAATAACCCCTCCCCAAGTCGCAACGACTGAGATGAGGTGCCTGAACAGTCTCTTGTTTCATGTTAAAGATAGAAATATGCCTTTTGAACAGGTGCATATAGACGATTTGTTGATTACCAGTCCAGATTTAATATCACACAAACAACACATGAGAGCAGTGTTGAGACGTCTGGATGAAGATGGGGTGAATACACGTCAAAATATGTTTTTAATGTTCAGACTTTGCACAGTAAGCCCAAAAGGGAATACAGCTATCGAAGAAGAGATGGACACCATTAGACAATACATAATATCAAGTTCTCTCATACGACTTAGAAGAGTCCAGGATTTAGTTAACTTTTACAGTAGATTCATACTTAGTCATACATAATTGTTGCAACGCCTGACAGACTCCTTTAAAAAGAAAATCAAAAGAATTTAAACTGACTTCTAAGGCCGTTAAACAGCTAGAAAAGCCAGCTCAAGCATCTACGTTGATGTATTCTAATTCCTATTACACTCTCACTTTGATGGTGGATGTTTCGGACAAAGTAGTAGGTAGTATTATTAACTAACTGGTTGAAAACGCCTGGAAACCGATCGCGTTCTCCTCAAAACGATTCACTCAAGCAGGGACGAGATACTCTCCTCATAGACGCGGACTCGCACTACACCTAGCTATTAGGCGTTTTCAACATATATCTGAAGGCAGAGAATTCATGGTTTATATGGATCATAAATCACTAACCAGTGAATCAAAAGCTAAAGCCAATGAATATCATATCATAGGCCGAGACATACAGGAGGTAGACGCATTATCTCGGCTAGAAATGAACATGATACAACAATCCACATTGTGGCTCATAGTCAAAAACCTCATTCATTTTGTCCACAACCAAGTAAGAGAGAAAAACAAATGGCATGAAATGTTAGGATAGTTAGTGTTAAGAAGGGAATCAAGTGATTAGACATATTTGTTTTTACATTTGTACGCTGAGAACAGAAAACCAAAGGCCTGTGTTAGCCCCTTTCAATCCATATTATGTTAGACTCTGGTCTTCATTTGAACAGGTCAATTACATGTGGGGATGCTCCTTCTTCGAGTAATAAGTTTTTTGGGAAAATCCGTATACCACGATGATTTTATTCGTTCTCAGCTTTTGACACTTCTTCTGTTCTAATCTATTGGTTTATAAAAAAGGATATATCAGGCCCAAAATTATTTCTTTATATCAAAATCAGATCACCTCCCATGCATCTGAAGAAAGAGTAAAAATATCTATGTTCTAGGCCACCCTGGTTCTGCTGAACACTATAATTCTGGATTGCATAGGTAACTGTCCTATGTACTTATTTTAAGATATTAGATGACAAGGACAGCGGTATATTTAGAGAAAGTCTGCAATCTTAAAATTACAAATCTCAAGGTGAATTTGTTGTTTGACACGGTAAATATTACCGCGCTTAAAACTAGTCTGCTGGGATCAAAATTGTATTTTACTGATGGGGACAAACAATTTGAATTGTAGTGTGTCGTTTGAAATACCAATACGAGACGAGATCCAGTCTCCTAGGGCGTTACGCCTGCTCTCATCTCCGAATTATGTTCGGAATGATTCTGACTTAAATGAAAGGCTAGAGAAAGCTCGGGAAAGACGATCTAACGTTCTGGCTGTAAGTTGAAGAATAGGGATATATAATCTTTCAGGAAACTATAAATCGAAATGAGCAACATGTCCATTTAGCTAAGTCTAAATGTGAACAAGAGAAAGAGAAGCTCGTAAATCGATCAAATGAATTAATGGAGAATCTCACGGAGGATTTGGCACAGAAGTCGTCTAGGCGGCAACAGATTATCGACAAGATAGTTAATAGGAACAAGAAAGAAGTAAAAAAAGAATCGTTATAAGTTGTCTTTTAGATTGAGAAAGCAAAACAACTTGCGGATGCCCGTGCTTCCCCACAAAGCATCCTGCTTCGTCAGATCAACGACGATATGTCCAATAAGGAAAACAACAGACGTTCTCACCTACAAAATATAGTTCATCAGTGCCAGCTGGAGGTAGATCCATAGTTATGTATTTATATATTCCTCATAGCTTTGTCATTTTTTAAGTGGGTTTGGAATTCTGGGGATCTTAAGGTGACACGCATTAGTAATTATTTTCACCGGCGAAACCTACTACAATACCAACGCATATAAAACGGTATAGTCAAGCCTCATGATAGCGTCTTAATCAGCCTCAACGTTCCTCAGTGACACCGAGTTTGATTACAGGTGCCACAGCAAACCCAGTTAACTAACATCAAGCCTAGTATGTGTAAACTAATCATTTACTTCTTAGGCATAAATGTCCACCGCACTGTGAATCCTCACCCAAGTAATTTTTCGCAACGTATTGTTCCTTTGATTTACGACATGGACCAAATCTATTTGTAAAAGGCTATTCCTATCCTATCATGTATATTGCTTTTTACTGGCTGGCCTTCGCTTGATTTTCACATTCAAAAAGGTTATAAGAAACCTCCGAAGTGAGAAAATGCACACTATCTACGAGGTAATACTTAGTTGTCAGTTCATAGGATAACTGTTGTCATTAACGTCGACCCTCAAAATAAACCAAGTCATATGATGACGATTTCGGAGTCCTGATTAGACTCATAGCCTCTTCGGGAGATAACACAAAGGGCAGTGTGTGTGGTTCAGAACGGTTGTTTTACTGTTCCCTACATTTAATCTCTAACGAATTCTGTCCTCCAAAATACTATTTATTAATCAGACCGAATGTACTTATTGTTTGCCATAAAGATTCTGCCTTTTCCTAAGTAGCTAAAACCAACGTAACCACTCACTCCACTCTGATTCGTTTTGTGCTGATTAGTTACAAATTGTGGTTGTTTATTTTTGTTGCTTAAAGCATTCAAAGCGCACTTAATAACTGCTTCATGTGAAATGCGCACACTTATTTACATGTCCTGCGTATAAACTTGTTCCTAGAGGTAGTACTTATGATATTTTTAACCTTGAGGTACTCGGACTGTTTGTTATTCTTGTTACATATTCCTCTTAATGATTATTAAGTTGACTTCTTACTTACTAAGCAGATTTGTTTTTTTCCAGATAGAGAAAGTCGAGTCTGTGCGACCTCGCCGGTCGATTAACGACAGCAGCATGGAATAAAATGTTCAAAAATACCTATCCGCTCCCTAATATTTTATATTAAATATCACATCCCACTCTTTTGAAAAGATGTTCTGTATTCCTTAAACCCCAATTAATAAACGTAGAGTGATATAAATGTGATTTCCTATACTTTTTTGGCTGGTTAGTACGAAGACAAAGACGCATTCGATGTTCCGTGCAATCCGCCACCAATGTTCTAATGAAAACAGTGGTTACTGTCATGTAATGATGGTAATCGTAGTACTTTTTGTATTCAATACCTTATCATGGAAACCTCAACACAAAATATACGATATTTGCTAGCTTTGATATTGTCTCGACTCAGTTCATGGTCAAACCTTACCAGTGACTCTACTGATGTTTTTTGTAAGCATAACGCATTCAGTGCATTTAATTCTAAAGGATAAAGAGATAAATATACTAGATGCATTGGTGTCTGAGCAATAAACATCACCGATGTGAGTTTTCTAAACAAAAATGTCTGAGTACATTACTGACAAGTCAAAACATATGAAGCAGAGCAATTTATTTCAATGCTCATAGTTTTTCCGAAAGAGTAGGCAAGGTATGATAGGGCATATAATCAGGATCTGTAAAATAATAACTATTGTGAAAGTCATAACATCCAATTAGTACATCGTAGGAATCCGAGTTGGATGTTTTAATTGGTCTTGTCTGTACGTCGATTGACTGGGCGGAGAATGTGCTGGCCAAAAATCTGAAAAAGAACGAATTGAAATGTTAGTATTACATACACATTAAACTGAATATAAGAGGCATATGGGATTTATTTGTTGGAGTATCCTCACTTTAAACACCTACGGATGGTCCCACCTTGACTCTACCTACTGTGAAAAACTAGTTAATGAAAGTAGCACATGGTTAAATTAGAATTATATATATTACTGCTAAAACCGTGCACGACATCCCAGCTTTACTTCAGTATGTTGCGAACTGATTAATGGGAAGGTTAACATAAATGGCTATCAACTATGTGATATTCTTGTTAAGTATTAATGGCATATCTGGGTTGTTCCCTACGTGTTGAGTCGCGTACAATCATTTGAGTACTTAATACATTAGCTGATATGAAGAGGACGATGTAGACAATGATATTTCCGTATTGTCCCAATGTCACTACGAGTAATATTCTATAGGTGACCTTGGCGAAGGTCAGTCGGCTACAACGTAGGACCAGGAATATATATATGTCGGTACAAGTTGCCATACCTCATTAACACAACAAGATGAACGCCGGGTTCATAGTAGTTAATTCAGTGGTGGTAATATATAAAGGAGAAATTGCATATAAGGATATTATATAGGAAGAAAGAATTAGTTCGTATAAAGAAAGATACAAAGCAATTTTAATCTCACGGTTTAAGGGAAGACAGAGAGTTCATACACCTACGCCATTGTGATCGATTCTGAGCTATATCGCCTTGACGAAGGTGCATTATCGTAGCCTAGACAATTTACTCAGAGAAAACCTTTACAACCGTGATCATGTTGATAATGCTGGATGGCAGTGTACAGAATAGCACAGTTAACTGCTTAGTAGTTAGATTGCATGATACTACCACTTTTCCTCCAGAATTTCTCCAAAAGAAGCACTAGCGAAAGAGCCGTCTGTATATTAAGAAATAGAATGGTATGTCGGCTCTGAAGTGACCTCTACTTTGTAGTATCTTCCTCGGCCTCAGGTCATTAGTATCGTCTATTAATAATCATATTGTGTTCGTTCGAATGTTAGACTTTAAGATTTCCAATATATATTAGATGTGATGTACGTTCACTATCCCTTCGATAGAATCAGTATGACAAAAGAAATGACATACCAATGAATGGGGAGAACCGTTGGGTTTACGTTTGGGTGACCAAATATCTTCACATCCAGGTCCTAAACCAGAGTCAAGATGAATATTCGACTGACAGTTCTTTTCTTCATCACTAATAGAATTGTCCATTATAGAACGAAGATGTGAAAATTTAGAGTGTAGTGCTCGAGCGATAATTGCACATGGATCAGAGCCACTAGAGCAAAAAACAAATGAACACAATTAATGGTAATAGAACTGCGATGAAAATTAGCTCTCACCACATAAACGAAACATCCTCACCTGATTGTGGGAGACTGTTTTTGTTTTATCGGTGTACCACCAGGTGATCTTGGTATTGAACGTAGTTTAATAGATCCACTTTGTAATTCTTTCAATACTTGTGACATATCGGCGGGATTTTGTGACGTCGACAAATTACTTTTTATTGGTGTAGATGTTTTATCCGTGGAATTATTCTAAAAAAGATATACAAAGTTATTTTATAACTGAACAATTTCTCCTAAATTAAGAAGAATAAATAAGAAAATAAAAGTTTTTCTCATGTTCATAGATTTGGTATTCATTCCAAGTAGTCCCCGTATTAGTGTGAACCCACAGCTGTAAATTCATAATTTACTTTACTGAACGTCGATTAATCACCATCATTATACCAAAAATGAAATTCTCCGGATAGCAACTCATCAGTAGTTCAACAGAAATTTGATCGTATAAAAACAAATAGCATTCACTGAACTACTAATAAGAAGTACATTAGTAGTTGAACAAATATAAAAGAATAATTACATGTTAAATTATTCATCCAAAATACAAATTATATGCATAATCAATAGTCAACTACAATTAGGAAAGATTAAAAGAATAAAGACCAATATTCAATGATCAACAAATGTAAATATCTCAGTATTCCAGGAGATGGATCACTGTCCAAATAAATCAGTGGCAACGCCTAAGACTGAAACGTGGAGACTCGTGTTCGAACTCACTAGGAATAATCACCTCCTTGGAGATTGGCAGTTTCATTTTGTTGGTAAATGGCAACTACCACAAAAACCTATATCGAACAGTGTCTTCTGAAGGTTAAACTAAAATATAGTGCACAAGATGTTGGATCACTTAGACTAGTAACCTATAAATCAACAGAGGTTTATCAATATTAAAGACTAAACAAATATGACCATGACAACTACTCAGTGATTTATGAATGTAAATAGACTTTTACCAGTATTAAATGTGATAACAGATTCGGGAATGTTAAAATCCAAGAATATATAGCTACTTCTCCCTGAGAAATTCATAATATTAAACAAAAGAGAATTTAATTGTTTCCGAAGTGAATATTCGACGCTTAAGCCGGGTTGATGGTCACGGAAGACCAGCTAGAGAAGTTGGAAAACTCTTATTCAGAACCAATGGTGTACATGGGCCCCAAGATCCTGAGGGAACAAATGGATTATGGACCTATTCTCGGTCACTAGCTGTCGTAAGACTGCATCTCCTAACGTTGTTCTACTGCCTTGTGGATCAGACCTCTTGGGAGTGAGTCACTTAGAAAACCACCTGCTTTGGTTTGGGAACCCTGGAAGTATCCCAGCCGACAAAAATTCATTGATTTGTGTGGCGCATATATATATATATATATATATATATATATATATATATATATATATATATATATTGGTACCTCTTTGAACCAATGTTTATGTGTTTAAATAAATAAGTAATAAAAAACATGGTTAAATATAAAAAATATCTGAATATGTGTATGGAAAGGAAACAATCCAATGCAATAATTATTTGATATCCTCTCTCTCTTTCACACACACGATAATGAGTACCTTTTCCGACAGATGGTAGAAAAAAGGTCCATCATCAAATACATTGTGATCTTAAGGAAATACTCATGAGAAATAATTAAAAAGGACAATTTTATGCTCAAAGTCTACTCAAAATTTTAGCATGAAATGTGATGTATACAGCAATAAACCTCGTCGTTTGGTCTAACCGAAAAAAACCAACGATTAATCATGAAAAATGTTCCTAGCTGTGAATGAAAAATGACATACATAGACAGGACTAAATTCCTTTCAACTATACCTTTTTACTTCTTAGCTTTGCTTGCAATTGTTCTCTCCAATTACTACTACCTCCTTGTAGTGCAGGTGAAGAAATCATGAGCGGTGGTGGCGGTGGAGGGGGTATTGGTGGTGGAGGTAGTATTAATGATGTTGAAGTTGAACTAACTGAAGGAATAGGAAATTCTGACAGATTGTTGTAAAACTTTGTTTTATCATGTTGCATCAGACTAGGTGATCCTGTGGCAGCGATGGCAGCAGTAGTAGTGGCAGTATCACTCTCACCATCTGCATCTGGACGATGAAGAAAACGATCTCGATCTACGTCAGACGTGCTTGATTTACCTAATTCTTGAGCTAAAATTAATTGAGCAATTTGTGATCTTAAACGAGAAAGTTCAGCTTCCAATTGTGAAATACGATTTGATCTAGATGATGAATGAAAATGTTCATCAGAGGTGTTTGTAGTGTCTGAAGTACTATTATTATTATCATACAGTTTGCCATTATTTTTGGTAGAATCTCTAAAGCGCTTTCCTATTTGAGAAAAAAATGTTTTTCAGCATGAAGAAAAAACGTTTACGATTAGTAAGTCACTAC